GAAAAAAAATTAACTTAAATGATTTTAGCAAATGGCTGCAATATAACAAAGAGTGAAAAATTTAAGGGGGTCTGAATACTTATATATATATATATATATATATATATATATATATCTGTCTTTTAAGTTGACACAAAATAAACACCTTCTAAACAAAACCTTTCCAAAACTTTGTAACTGAAAAACTATCAATCAAGAAAAGAAACAAATAAGCAGCTCTCTTTGAACATGTTCTCTTCAGGTGGTGTAGCATGTGTGAAATAGTGCAGGGTGCAGAAGACGGAAGCAGATTTTATAACCTTAGATCTCATTCAGACTGACATCAAAGATGAACTCAAGGGTGAGTGGACAAGGACATGCCCTATTAATCGCTCTTTGGATATCCACTTTTTCTTGTATGTTTTGTTAGTCTGATCCCAGCACCATCAGGTGCAGGGTCTTTGGTAGTTGTTACCATACCAGTGTTTCTTCTTTGCAGGATATTCATTAAAATTTCAAACAATGGGAAATAAAATAGCTTACAAGAAAGAGACCACAGAGCAAATAAATATATTGAACTGAGAAGAGATAAATATTTCCAGTAGATGCAGTCTTTCCTCTGGACATTACTTGGGAAGTGTGGCCTAACAAGTTAAGTTCAAAGCTACTATTTTAGATGCAGCTGTGTCTTCTTGGTTAGTGGATACTGGGTAGTGCTTCTGAATTCAGCACCATGGACAGTTACTCTACAATTCAGTGGTTTATTTTATTCGATAGACATCATTATCTTTCATCCGCTGTAGTTACATAAGATGGCACAGACAGTAAAATCCCTCAGTTGTCTATCTTTTTGTGTTTCACATCATATTCATTCTTCTCTTTTGAAATGGTAGGCTCAGACACTCCTCTGGCGTGGGTGTAAAAGCTCTGCGGCACTGTTTTGTCTTTTCACGAGTGAACTCTTGCTTAGCACTCATCTCAACATTTCATTGCTTTTATTATTGCATTCACAGCAGTAAGCCTATACTTCTCATTTCAAACTTTGCATTTGTCCAGCGCTCAGATGAGTGAGACGGCCTAAGATCTGTCAATCTTCCTCATTCTTTGTCCAGTTTAATGCAAACGAGAGCTCTGCTCTGACAATGCTGCGGGAAATGTGAAGGAAATTATTGCGTAAACTAAAGCTAACCAGCAGAAGTCATTTCTTTCCACTTTAGAAAGTAGACCAAAGCGTTCAGGCTTCAAAAAAAGAAGAGAAAATTCACAAAAACCATTTAAAAAAAATGGTCCATATGACTACATTTTTAAGTCTTCCAAAGCAATATGGCTGTTTGTTTATTTATATTATGGCAAAAGGTAAACTATATTATCACCCAACTCTTTATGTAAAGTTAGAAATGTATAAGTATTTCCTACTTTGCAGTAGTGATATATTGCATATTGTAAAGCGCTATATGCCATAAGCAAATCTCTATATCATCCCAAAACTTAAACTATATTATCACCCATCTCTTTGCTAAATTTGATTATAAAGGCATTAAGATATTAAGGTGTTATAAACAGTAACAACATGATTTTCTATAAAACTGCTTTGAATCAGAGTGTTTTGTATTGACCTGCAATGCAGGCTATTTGTATTATACAATACAAATAGATTTGTATGAGAGAAGCAGACTGAAATTCATTATTACCAATGACTCCCGTCCAGTTCTTCAGGCAACCTAGAAAAGGGCTATTTTACATTAGCACTTCATTCAAATTGAGCTTAAAATTACCATAAAGTGTCACGTAAAGATTGATTCCAATTTGTGCCTCCATCAGGGCAATCAGGTGGATGAGGGCAAACTCAGTATTTTACACAAATTATGATAAATCGCAGATTGCGGTCATCATGATCTCTTCTGCTCTAATAAGATGCAATTGCTGGACAATTGGGTGTTGGTGGATTTGTATCTCTTGGAGGCACTGCAAAAACCCTGACATCCTGAAGATTTACTGGCTGCTGGTGAATATTGACTTTTTGAGGAAGAATGAGCAAATAATAAAACAATCAATGCTGATAAAATACATCTTTGCAGTTGCTTTTATTTGTTGCAAGTTATAGAAACATTTTTATATAAAATATTATTACTCATGAGTTTGTCTGGTGAACCTTTTTTATACACTCTAAAAAATGCTGGGTTGTTTCAACCCAGCTTTGGGTCAAATATTGACTAACACAACCGTTGGGTTAAATTTTTACATTAAATTTTGAACCCAAAAGTTGGGTTAGTCCATATTTGACCCAAAGTTGGGTTGAAACAACCCAGCATTTTTTAGAGTGTACAGTATATATACATTTATGCTTATACAGGGGCACCTCTATGGTTTCTGGGCCCCCTGAACAGCATATTGACTCAGGCCCCCCTCGGTAGAATCACGTTCTTTGCATTAGGCCCCCTCTCTGATCAGGTCTTTTGGAATTGTCCTATTATCCCCCTCCCCCTCCCCCATGGTACCCCTGTGCTTACATATTTAATATTTTATATTTCTTAGGTTTTGGAAGTGTGTTTTAGCTGTAAGTATATGAATTCTCAACACACTCTAATGGCGATTCGGAACTATTTTACATTTTGGCAAATTGGTGGCTAAAGATGCAGTCTTATGCAATTCTACATGAAAGGAATCCAAAATGTCTAACTATGTAATTTACTTCACTTTACTGGAATGTTCCAATCCTGCAGATTTAAAGTTTGCGTTCATTTAATTCAGATTAAGAGGCCATGCTGATCTATTGGTCACCAGTCTTCACAATACAAACTCATCGCAGGGCAGCTCACTATTTAAGTTCACCAGACTTAAATAATGGAACACAGCAAAATTCCCACATTCACATGCATATGACCAGCGGTCACTAGTGTGACCAGCCATTTATTCTTAAGAATTTGTTGCTGTTCACACAAATTATTTATGTTCGCACAAATTAAGGAGTAGATTATCAATAAATTTTCAAACTTATTTTCATGCGGTTCTATGTTATGACCTCAAAACACTTTTATAGCGCATGATTTGTAAAGTAATATATTGTAACATTTACATCGCATACCAGATGTGACCAGCCATTTATTTGTATGAATTTGTACAAATGAATTTGTACTTTTATTTATTTATACATTATTGTACAATCTGCATATGCCTGCATAAATTCAGGGGTGGGGTTTGAGGTGGAGCTTCATGCTTACTTTAAAAAAAAACAAAAAAAAAACGTATGTTTTGTACGAAACTTTTCATATGAAATCAGCACCTCATAAAATAGTTACATTTTCTCATGAGACCAGGTTGGAATTCAACAAATGTAGCAAGTGTTATTACTTTATATAATGCTCAACAGATTATTGGACTTATAGCATTGCTCATATCCATCACTACAAGCTGGAGTTACAGTAAGGTGTCAAAGTAATTTCATGTATTTATTGTCACACGAGCACTGCCAAAATTTTATTCTGTAACTTCCGCATAATGATGAGCAATCTGGGGTTGAATTCCTTTCTCAAAGATACAATGCTGTTTCTTTCAGTAAATCTTCTGGTTACAAGCCTTACACCACATGGACCTGTAACCACAGGGAAGACATATTCTGAATTTTAAGAAGATGTCTCAATCACATACACCTTGAAAGGAACAAAGCATCAGACAGCAGATACAATTTTGTCAAGGCTGCTATGAATGCTGTCTGTGTTTTCAGTTCACTCTCAGATTCACTCCCAGGGATGGTTTCCACCACCAAGTCCTTGGACGAAAGGTCAGTTATCTTCCAGTGGATTCAGTCCACATCCCACAAGCTGTCACAGACTCCAGCTTGTTCTGATCGTAGCAGAACTGCCAACAGACAAGCACTGCTCCAACGCAAACAAATGGTGGAACACATACATGAAAACAGTGAGGAAAAGTTTTCGAAAAGATCAATATGCTCTTCAAAACACTACCACGTTTGATTTTAGCTTCAGGGGAAAATCCAAACACGTACCTATACATACAATTCACTACAGTTTCCAGCTGAAATAAACACTAGTGGCAGTAAAACAGCAAGAACTTTTCTTCCTGTTCACACAAATTAATTACAGAAGTAGATTATCAGTTAAGTAAGGCTTATTTTCATGTGGTTCCTTGCATAATTCTATGTTATGACCTCAAAACACTTTTATGGCACATGATTTGTAAAGTAATATATTTTGACATTTACATCACCTCACCGGATTTATGGCTTTTCTGACATGGTAAACTTGCTCGGTAACTCACCTGGTACAGCAATGCAGTTAGTATAGTGTAGTTCAGTGTAGATGGTATGCTATTTTAAAGTGTAATAAAGCATTAACCATTTAGAGCCACTCAATGGAGATTTTATATCTGAACTGTCTGCCACAATATGTATAACAGTCAATGTTATAAAACAACACTTTAGCGCCACTCATTGGACATTTCACTTTGAAAGTGTCACAAAATTTGTAATATCATTTTGCAGAAATAATGACATGGGTTTTTTTTCCAGACAATTACAATGAAAAGCACCATTAAAAATAAGGTAGAAAGTATATTAAAGTACATTTATTTTGGAAGCCCAGGAATTGTCCAATCCTTTTAAAATATTTGACTAAAAACTTTTGTTATCTTGAGTGGCCGGGGGCCTTTGGTGGAGGAGTGTTAAAGATTGCCTAAAGCTAATGGAGAATGGAAAATAAATGAAAATGATTAAAATATCTGTATTAAAATGAATAACTAATACATTTTCATTTTTATGCATGATGCAAAAATAAATTAAAACTAAAATAACCTACATGTTGATTCATCTATTGAATAACTCTCATGCATGAAACCAATCTTACATAACTTTTGTACTTATTCATTACACGGACCTGCAGTAAAGGCTATTATGTAAGCTTGTTTTCCCAAATCCCTCTGCTGGACATCACTGTTTTTATACCCACACCAGAGCCAAAGGGCGCATGCCTCTGGGCTTTGGGTTGCCTCACATGTTTGTAGCATTAATCATGCCCTTCAGAGTAATATGCACAGTTATTTAACAGCCACGTCTTCAAACGTCTTCATGCAAAGGTCCTCTATATTTTTCTAAAAGTCCCAAATGTTATTGAACTAAGCTCAGTGCTACTTCTGAGCCCTAATAGGCATGTTTTAAGTTCTGTCATATTAAGTTTTCTTTCATCTCCATGGTTGCCGCTTTTGTAGTCATTTAATGAAAAAGTTACAAGAGACTTCTTAGTGAATAAATAAAATGTCTATGTGAATGTATCTCCAAACCAGTGTAATTCTTGCAATTGGTGACAAATAGGACCTCTCTGTGATTACAATATATAGAGGAGCAGAATGAATTTGAATTGAATTATATCTGAATTGATTGCTGTGTGCATGAGAGGACACAAGAGCAGTAATCTGCATTTTTGGGGCCACTGTGAAAGTCATGACAGTAATTGCTTTTGCTTCATTCCTTTAAGGTTTCAGCTGGTTATTTGCATTTTAATTCCTGTGATATTGCATCTGATCTGCTGCTGATATTTTAATTAAAGAGCAGTTTGACTTTAGACAATAGAAGTCTTTCTCGGAACTGGACCATATTGTTCCTTCACTCTGAGTTTGTAGTCTACAGGATTGTTGTTCTTTTTTAGTATCATGGCAGTTATTGCAGCATAAATAAATGTCTCATAGTTATGCATGAGCCAAAGTAAGTGTTTTTTTTTTTTTGTCTTTACAATGTAACTGAAGTAAACTGCAATGGACTGAAGAGGAACTGACTGCTAAATAAAAGGGTATAAGTTCAAGAAACCAGAAACTCATCTCACATGCAAATTGCTGAATTTCAGATATGTTCTTACTTTAGTTTGTTGTTTGTCTAGACAGCATGCAGAGGTGTTGATAACAAATGAAGCTGACAACTCTTGTCAACCTGTTCTCATTTTGTAGAGGACAGTGTGAAAGTACCTTCAGAAGCATATGATGCATCTGGGGCGGTGTTAATCTCACTGAACGATATGACTAATGAGAATATTCAAAAACAAACGTTTTGGCAACTGTAGTGAAGATGAGATGAAATATGTGCATCGCAATAATAAACATTTTAAGACATGTATACTGTTGACAAAAAAATTGATGAGAAATTGATGTGCGATTAATCAAAATCACAATAAAATTGCAAGTTCTTAAATCATAATGTTACACATTAGACGCATTAAAATTGTTATATGTATGTTAAACATTGCAGTTTGGATTTGTATTTCATTGTGAATTGGCTGGCTTTGTTTAAAGGGTTAGATCACCCAAAAATGAAAATTCTGTCATTAATTACTCACCCTCATGTCGTTCCAAATCCGTAAGACCTTCGTTCATCTTCAGAACACAAATTAAGATATTTTTGATGAAATGTGAGAGCTCTCTGACCCTCCATAGACATCAAGGATACTACCACGATCAAGGCACAGAAACGTAGCAAGGAGATCAACCGTAACTTTACAAAGCAGTGAGAATATTTTTTGTGCGCAAAGAAAACAATAATAACATAATTTATTCAACAATTCTTCTCCCCGAGTTGCCGTGTTCTACCATTTTGGAGAGTACCCCAGAACGTAATCAATGTAATCAGCGTTGTTTACGTTCAGCATGCACACGCTTTCTACTGAACGTAAACAACGTTGACTACGTTCTGGGGTACTCTCCAAAATGTCAGAAGACGGTAACTTTACTTTGGGCATTTAGGAACAAAATTTGCATCTTTCCAACTGTAATCACATGTATATATGATGATTATATTGCCTGTGTGCTGAAAATAAACTTAGATTAAACACACTCGCGGAGTTCTGCTGCTTTAGTGGACACAGACCAAGTGTGCAATCAGAATGAAGCACAAGAACAGAACACAGTCATCTTACGACAGGGAAGAAAGAAAAGAAAGTTTAACATACAGAAGAACAGAATTATTTTGTTGTTCCATTTGGTGGCGCAAAAATGGCACACTTTACTTTTCTACTAAACAGGATAATGTGAGTTAAAAGAAGTTTTAGAGTATAATTTGAGCAGTGCAACACAAATGCATAAATCAAACAAGTCATTATTACAGCTGAGAGGAACAGACTGAGGATCTAAAAATCTCCACAGTAGCTGAAATTTCACGCTAATTAATGGGTCTAGACATGATCTATATAAAACTCTGCTTCAGCTTCCACCTACCTGCCATGGTTAACAAATATTTACCTTTGGGGAGAAATGGAGAGAGGCAGGGAGAGAGTGCTCGTCATCTTTCACATGTGGCTTCCTTCTACTTTGTTCTTGTTTGGCGACTCAGTCGAGTGTGCAGCAAAGGCTCTCTCTGTGCAAACACTTTCCCTTGAATTCCTGTCTGCACTGTCATCTACCGTCTCCTCTCATTTGTGTGTCCCTCTAGAGGAAATACTCTTCAAGATGTTCATCCCTATAGATGCGAAAATCAGACAATGTGAAAAACAACAAGGTGTCCTCTGAGAACAGGGCTCCGAGACCCATCCAGAAGGCAGCATCTATTAGATATGTTTTTTCCACCAGTTGTAAACACTGTTGAATATTCAAGCCTCACCGGGAGGGAGGCATGCTAAAAAATTCAATTTTATAAGAAACTTTGGCATGACTTTTAACTGGCCTTTCAAAATGACACTGCGAGTTTGACGATGAAAACCAAATCCTGTTTATTACACTCAAGCATAAAGTATCGGTCATTTGTGCCATTATGTTGTGTTTTATGGCAGTGTGCTACTTTTGGCATAATTGAAATATATAATATCACAAACTGTACAAACTTTTAAGGTGCCTGAATAGGGTGCCCACCTGGTTATTGCTTTTACAGGAAAGCAGATATGATTTTGCGGGACAATTTGGGACACATAGGAGAGAGAAAAATATACTACTATATTTAAATATTGATTTACATTAGTTGGAATGCCTGTTTTTGTGATCTTGGATGATAGCATGCTTTAAAACAGCTTTTTTAATAGTGACCGGCTCTGTGACTGGCACTTACACTGTACAGTCATTTGTGATACAATGTAATTTACCTACTCAGTCTGCTAAATATAATGAACTGATTAACATACTAAAGTAAAATCACATTTTATACTAAAATAAATGTACTTGGCGACTATGTTCCTTGATTAGATTATACGAACATTAAATGCATTTGAACTTGTATTTTGAACTTTATGAACTTGTATTTTGAACTGTATTTTGAAATTTGAACTTGTATTTTGTATTTTTTATTGGATCTGGCAATTTTGTCTTGTTACATATCTAAACAGCCTTAAAACAGTCTTTGATCTTCAAAATTAAGTGATTATATGTTTAAAACAAGAACAATTATCTGTCTATGAGGTATGGAAATACGTTTTCCCTTGATTTTTCTGAGCCTGTTAGCAGATACTTCTGTACTTGTTTTAATCATAAACTCACTGCATTTCTTTTATTTTTTGGCAGTTTAAAGGGTTATATATTAATTTACTTATTCTAGTTCAGCTTTTTTGTGTGTATAAAACAAGTTTAAAAGTACCATATACTGTAAAATAAAGCTAAATTTCTGCTCCCTAGATTTAAAGAAAATCTGGATGTATTGTGTTCACTTTAGTTTGGTTCTTACATTTTCTTTACATGGTTTTAAAAAGATCTTAAAAAAACTGTTAAAGTGATTTTCATCAAACCTGCAGAAACCATGCTTTCACTTACAGTATATTGAGTGGCCAGTACTTTCTTTAGTATTTCACCTGCTGTGTT